AGCTGACTACAGTGGATGACCCAACTGTGAAAACTTGCATCAACTTGCATGGAAATTTGATCTTGACCAATGTGAGTGCAGGTCAACGCAAGTGCACCCAAGGCCTAGCCAAATGAAGTCGTAAGTAGACCCAAGTTTTGAGCCTGCCTCTATTTGCGGGTCCGTTTGGCCAGGGCTTTGCTTTTGGAATGTCGCCACTTTCAGCATGTGTCAACAGCCATGAAATTTAATTGCTTCTTTCATAGGGGGATCATTACCATAAGTTAATCATGTTTAGTGCAGAGTGCACTATTGGGATGGTTTGGAGGGCTGCCATCCGCTAAGTAGCTATGGAACTAAGGAACTATGGCGCTAAGGTGTAGACTTTAATGTTTGTTTAATTAATTAATTTCAATTAATTAATTAGTCTAGAGGCAAGGAAGTGGTGTGGGTGGGGTGGGAAAGGTACTTGTGTACTCTACGTAAAACATGTTCCACCTACACCAGTTGAGTATAAACATCACAAAGCTATATATTTGTTTCAGGAAACCCCTTGCTCTCCTTGTGGTACTATTCTCTTAAGAACAAAACCAATTTGCTCAATACGCACATGCAGATTAGTTAGCGTTCACATCTTCAATATATTAGGCAGAGGATACATTGCATATGGGATCACACACAAAAATGTTAAGTGGTTTTCCTTATGGTAGAACCCAACATGTAAGACACATGTTTTCTAGCATCGTTAGTGTTATACACTATGTTTCCAACGCGGTTTTTTGTTATATGTCATGTGATGTGACTGAGGGGGGCAGTTATTTTTCAAGTAGTGCCACTTCTCCCTCTTTAGAGCAAAACTGAATTGTTACTGTGGCTGTGTATCTTTTAGAATTGCCCAAAGGTCGGTTCAAAATTTTCAAACTACCATAGTGTTTGTCGGGGTTCAAATAAAGAAGGGAAACATATTTCTTCCCCTTAACAGCTCTTTTATTTCTTGCCTTAATTGCGTCTGTAAAAGAGAACAAAAAGTTCTCGAGTTAGTGGCTTTAATACTCTTCAAATTGTAAATTTGTGACAAAAGAAACCAGGAAAGTGCTCAAATATTGCTGCAGACGCCATATCACCTAATGAAAGCGCAAATTAATTTAATCAGTCTTTGACGAGACTCTTCCTCCATTACAGAATATAATATCGGCCAAGTAGTGCTGTTTACCTTCAGTACTTCCGTTGAAATGCTTCTCAGTTGTATCAATTGATATCGTTGTGTATTAATTTTGAATTGTCTTAATGTTAACAACAAAGGTAGCACCGGCAAAAGAAAAAGAACGTGGTATTCCGTGACTATCTGATAATGGAATTAGTTCTTGCTTATCGGTGAAAAAAAAAAACGTTTTGAGTAAAACAAAATTGTTTTTCTTCCATTTCTTCATCAGATATTTAACTTTCTTTCATTTATCTCCAGCAGTGAAAGAAAAAACAAGCACATCTTCTGCGTGTTTTGGAGAAAACAAGTGTTTCATTTTACATACCATTGTGATGAAAACAAAAGTATCAGGTTACAAAGTTGGCGTGAAAAGCTAAATTGTCATGTTTGCTGCTTAAATGTAATACTGAATTTAAAATGAATGAAAATCAACTTAAAACACCAGAGTAAAACTTAAATACAGTCGTGACAAACAGTAAGTGTAAGTAATTCTTGGACCTTGAATGAAAATACAACCATGAAACATACACACTGCTAAGGGGAAAAGCCCTAGCAACTACCAAGGTAAATGCCAACTGCAAGTGAACTGAGCAAGGGTAGAGTACTTGTAGGACTGCCATGCCAGAGCTATCAGTATAATTCCACTCTGCACTATCTGAAATTGTCTCACTAGTTGTATAGGTTATTGTGACTACATGTATAATGTACAGGTTTAATAAATCTTGCACAAAACTCAAATTATTCTTAATCCCATGGTTATTGCCATTTTGTCATGTTAGTCTAGTACAGTGGAACACCACCTTACAGTCACCTTGTTATTATGCCACATTTTTTTGTCCTGGCGAAATGCCCATGCATTTTTCTCATAGAAAAACCCTGTAAATGAGGCCAACCCTTTATTATGGCCAAATGCCCATTATATAGTAAATGGTTTAAACCTAGGAATATCAGTAGTTCGTATAATGTGATTGTCCAGGTGAGGGTTATGTTTATCTTTCCAGTCTAGCTATTGTATGAACTGACTGAAGTTTCAATTTTTTTAAAATTCTATCTGCATTCCAGATTTTTATAAAAGAACAGTTGTTCAGAAGTGCAATTGTGATATTTAGAGCAGTCATGAAATTTGACCCTACCCCAACGGTCAACCCGTTAATACGGCCAGATTTTCATCCCCTGTTGGTGACTGTATTAATGGATTTCTTCTGTAGGTTGCTGGTATCCATTAATAAATTATCCTTGGTGAAGTAAGTGCTGTGTTGAAGATCATAACTCAAGGTCATTGGGAAGGCTTCTTAATCTGGAGACCATTTCATCTGGTGTTATGCCACTACACCATAAACATTTGTACAGTATCTAAATTTTTCTATTTCTTCTTTTGAACAGCTGAAGACAAAATACCTGAGGACAAGACAGGAGGAGGATATCATCCACAAGCTTATTCTAGAATAATGATTTTTTTGTTTTTTGCAATCCAGGACCAGGTAAACACTTGTGTTCTTATGCAATGATCAAATCAAAACTTAACCTAGTTTCTTCAGGGGAATCCCCCAAGGGCATCCCTACAGGGTAGCCAAGTCATCAAATTCTACAGCAGAAAAAAAGGAGTAAAAATGCACCAATTTTTTTTCCTTTTTTAATTGATGCACTATTATTATAGGATCCAAAATAGTCAGGGAAATTTTCGTTTTTCAAAATCAGGGAATTTTCAGGGAATAAATGGAGAAAATGGGAAGTTTCCCTTTTGTACTGTACCTGTAAAAAAAAAAATAACTAGACCAAACTACTGAACTAACTCCATTCAAATTAAAACCTGCAGTGCAACACACTCTCATTAAGTGACCACCAAACTAAGACCAGACACTACTCAACTTATACCCCTACAGTAGTCACTACAGTATTTCTTGACCTCAACAGAACTCACATGATGTTCTTGAACCAGTCTCAACACAAACTTCACCAAAAGTAAACCAGTTGAATCAGACCATAACTGATCAGT